TACACAAAACACACCTACAACCGGAGCGCAGAAAGGGCGAACTTTCAATCAGCATAGGCTTACTGAGTCCAAACTGTTTAAAGTTAAAGTTTATTTGTATTCTTTGTAGGAATATCAATAAAAGACCTCAAATGTATCTATATCTGTACATATTACAAGAACCTTCAAAAATTATTCACAGAACAAAAATAAATCTTCTTTAGAACAAACCCAGGCAATGAAATGCAGAAATGGATCTCAGAGACCAAACAGTCCAGTGCTACTAGCATAAAAATACGGCTTGAAAAACAAGTTTATTACTTTTTAAGGTGTACTTTGTTGAAATAAAAAATAAATTATTTAGAGCTATCATTGTAAAACAGTTCTGTGTAGTAACACTCTTATTAAGGCCCTTGAGACAGAAAATCTATTTTTACAGGTAGGATTCCGGGCAGGCATATCTGTAACGACACGCTCGCTCTCACGGGAGTTAACTTTCTGTGGAGAAGGACATACCCAAAGCATCAGCCTAAATTTAACCCTTCTGGCTCTGCCAGACTCAGCTGGATACCTGTGGCTGACCACGCTAATCGCTGGTGGAAACACATTTCATGGCTCCACTCGGACAGGAACTGTTCTCCAGGAACAACACAGTTTTGCGGAACACAGACAGAATTCGCACGTACACGGTGACCTTAGCCAGCTAAGCATTGCTGACGCTTTCCATGGGCGCCGTTCTAAAACTGACAATTGAGTATTCAGATGAAGTTAAAAGCTGGTGGGCTTAAGCAAGCTTTAAAACCTGAAATTAATAAATCATGTTAAAAACAAAAAAGCCTAAGCCAACCCAAAACAACTGCAAGAATGTAAAATAAAACCCATTTCTTGGATGGCTTACTAGCTGGATACAGAATTTATTACTAGACACACCTTACATTCTCTAACTAGAAAATACAGACATCCCTTTCCACGCTCCTCTGGATCCCCTGCCTGAGTTAAGCCACTGGAGAGGACTGCTGCAAAACGTGTAGCTGTATGAATCTGTGCTTTTGTGCATAGCTGCCCATTTCTAACACACCTGGGGAATAACAGTTGGTAATTCCTGAACGTGAAATCTGCCTATTTCCTTTTAAAAAAAGGGCTGAATTCCTTGAGTTGCCAAGAACGGGCATTCACCGGATGCCGCTCCGAGGCCGTGTGCCCCCTCTCCTCCACCAGCGCCCACCTCACGCCACGCCGGTACCTCTGCCCTTCCCACGCTCCGCAGGTGCCGCACGCAGCACGGCAGACTGCCACAGCGCTACGAAACGGGCTCCGTCCCCTGCCTCGCCACGCTGGCCGCGAGCTTCTGCCACACACTTGGGAATCTGGGTGGCTTTGCAGTCTGGGAAGAAGCATCCTAGAGCAGTATCAAGTAACGTGGCCAGCAAGCACCGAGACACCAGGACGGGACAACTTTTCCGTCTCCGTCTTGTGAACACACGAGCGCTGCTCCTGCAGGGTATTAAATTTTTCCTGCACTACTGCAGCTGTTTCCAAATGAGAGCAGCAGCTCCTTGAACAGCATTAGACACAGCCCAGTGGCATCTGCTGAAAGCAGGAACCAAAACCTGACGTCTGTAACGCTCATCATCAGGCTTCACAGTATTTACGTCTCTCCCTGCTGCAGAAACCCACCGCCCACCAGCCCCAGTGTGATCAGGCCCAGTCAGGGCTCTCACTCCAAAGCAGACAAGACCTTTCGGCTGCCATTTGGTTCAGTGCTGCTTGAATTTTATCAGCCTGGACAAAACAGAAGCTGGCATTTTCACATATCGTCGGCTGGAAGCGGCTTTTTCTCTAGAAAGCTGCTTGGTAACAAACCGGCTTTTTCTCTAGAAAGCTGCTTGGTAGCAAACCAGCAGAGGCAGCCGCCCGCAGAACTCGGGAGCGTAAGGTTTTTTTTTGCAGCTAATCAGTTTTAGCCTTGCAGCACTGCGAGTCTTCTGCAACCTTCGCCGCCTTTCGGGCCCACGGGCAGCCTCCCCTCCAGAGCTGGAGGCAGAGGAGTACGCTGTGCACCTCAGGGTAGAAGATGAGCTAGAAGAGACCCAACCAGCCTAGCAATGAGCCGTGACGACGATTCGGATGGGTCAGACTCTTTCGGAATAGCAACTTTTTTGTACAAGCATTCCAGAAGCTTAAGAAATACATAGGAGAAGGTGTGTTATTAGATTGATTAATTACGGGAGAGCTCACCAGAACACATCCCTCTCGGGGCAGGTATTATTTCCCCTCTAAAAATCAGGGCTGAAACGCTTCCCCTATTGCATTTCTCTGCAGAAACCAATGCCTTGGAGCCTTCAGCAAGGAACCGCACAGCTCCGCCAACGATCTCTGATCGATTGCCAGCAAGCTGGAGAGCTCCGGTGAAACGCTGTTCCCAGATCAATGCTAGACAAACGCTACCGGAATGACGCATCTGCTGCTGCGTTGTCCTCGTCCCTGCGACCATGCGCTCTCACATCTCTGTCACAGAGCACCCGTGCTATTTGCACTCTGCAATCAGCGAGCGATGCACACGCCCAGCTGAAAAGGCTGCTTTTGGGAACAAATCTCCCCTGATGCAGCTGTATCATTACGTTACCTAGCGAAGGGGACACACAGAGCACACAAAAAGACTGAACAAAAAAGGGGATTGCAAAGTTTCTTGTGAAAGAGAGCTACTCACAAGATGGACTAACACAAACTCGATAGAGTGCCTACGGCTGCGATGCCTGAAGGGAGAAGAAAAGCAGGAGGAACTTAAAGGCACAGTCTGAGGCAGAAAATAGCAGAGATCAGCAACGACCCAGAGCTGGAAGACGGTTTGGGAAGTATCGAAAAGAAATCACTACTGAGCAAACGCCGAGCAGAACCCCAGGTGCGTCAGACAGTGCTGACCAGGCTACAACACAGCAGGAACAAGACAGGGATGCTCCTTGGCCTGTGGGACCAAGCCACACTCGAGCAGCCGAAAGAACTAAGCATTACATCTCAACCCCAGCTCGCTGCAGACAAGTCTCCTCTAGATGTAAATTAACAGCCACGGCCTCGCGAGGAGCGATTCCTACGTGTTTTTCTTACATGTCCTACAGCGCGGAAGATGTGGTCTCTGTATTTATGCATAGTTAGAAACGTAACACACTTGTGTGGTGACCTTTAACTGAAGTATCGTAACACCATAACCAGGCAGAACGGCGAACATGCTGCGCTCTGTCACAAGCTGCGCTCGCCACAGAAGCGAGAGGAATTCATTTCCAAACGAATTTGACAACAGACCTTGAGTTTGGGGCCTCAGTGCTGCCAATCCTCCACGTCAAGGCAACGTGGGCCCCTCTCAGGAAGCCAAGAACACACTCGTGATGTAGTACAACTTCAGAGATCTAGAAACTTCTCCAGATCGCGGGCCACACGATTTCAGTCACAGCCACCTCGTTAACTCCCTCCTAGCTGCAGCCTGAACTGTGTGCTTACACACATCCCACCACCAGGCACCCTCTCGAGTTTTGTCTCGTTTTGAGGTCAAGTTTTCCAATTTCTAATTCCCATAACTACTTTGAATGGTTAATCACACACACTGTTATTAGTAGACTTCTGTAATTCATAATGTCCATTGCTGTCGCAATAATTTTATTTACTTTGAGAGTCTGGGGGCTAGAAACCTATACCAGAAAGTGAAGGTGAAGATTCAACACGCTATTACTTGACTAAATCTTGTGGCATTTGATGAAATCGTGAGAATTGACAATACTGTGTCATTTATTGTTCATCTTTTACAGTTTGCAAATGTCATTATCTTCCACGAGAAGGTCACTTTGTAATTATATACACATTCACACACAGCCTGCAAGTGTGCTTCTGTGAAATGCAACTGAAAGTAACTGGAGACGAAACCTCAGTCAAAACTCCTTCAGAATAAAATGGTGCGTACAGAACTCCAAAGAAAAAAAAACCCAATGCTTTAAAGTATCCAGAGAAAGTCAAATCTCAGTGGAAATGGAAGATCTTGTAACAGAAACGTCCCAAAAGCATTTTTTATTGGAACTAGACTGGCTAAGCTAGTGGCTGAAACAGTGAAATTGAATGAGAGTTAAAATCTAGAAATCCTCTAGGACAAAGGAAGTTTTGCGTACGGCAGCCTGCTCTGCCAGGCATGGGCACCCTTCGGTTCACCTCTTCCTCGGAGCATTGACCTGACTGTTCCCGACGGAGCGCGGAGAATGAATTCAGGGTGTCACTGCACGCTGCGTACAGTGCGGACTGGATAGCAATTAAAAAAAAAAAGTATTTACAGGTCTGTAAAGTCTCAGAACAGAAAATATACAACTGCATCAGAACTGGGGTAAGAAAGAAAGAATCCTACCTTGAAAAACTGCAGATTCCCTCTGTCTGACGGGAAGCCTGACTGTGTGCAAATGCAAGGACACAAGCTTGCTGCTCCAAGCTTTTCCCTTGTTGAAAATGACTGAAATTGTTTTGCCAGAGCCCCACTAAAAGCAGGGTCCAGCAAGAGCCAATTTTCTTGCTAAAACATTTGCTATCGAGTTTGCATTCAGTTAAAGAACAGCTAGAGAAGAGCGGGATAAAACCAGCAGAGGAGTTTTCTTACAGAATTCATTTCGCTGCTACTTCACTCCACTCGTGCACTTGTGTCAGGCAGCCCATGAGAAAAAAAAAAAAAAAATAATAAAAATAGCAATAATTAAAAAAATCTACAGTATTCACTTCCTTTTGGTATATTACATCGGCGTTTTCTGTACATGACCCCAGAGCTCCCTCTATTTACACAGTGACATGGAAGGACATGTTCTCGGGAGCCCGGTTCTCCTGGCCTTGAGCGGGGAATTGAAGCCCACCTGTCAGAGTCCTCCTTTCTCTTTTCCATTTTATTAGCAGCATTATGTAAACCTGTAAGGGGAAGAGGGGGCTACGTCGAAGCTTTCTGGAATCCGCTCCCTCTCGCCTTTCTCGCGGGGAGGCGGCCGGCAGCATCCGCCCCATCAGCAGCTGCTGTTTTTGAATTCACCATTCTCCGTGATGGAAAGCTTGGTGGGGTTGGTGGGGGAGATGCCATTGCGGACTTGCATGCTGTAGCGCTCCTTCACCTGCGTCAGGGCACTCATCAGCCGCGTGTTGGCAGAGTCCAGGGACACGATCCGCTTCTCCTGCAACAAACACCCCACAAAGTCAGAGCTCCGGCGCGTACGAAATGCCTTTGCCCCGCACGCCTGCTTTCGGGGGACCGTCCAGGACCCGGGGCTGCGATAGCGTCGTCGGGTCATTCCCGGGCAGAGGCAGCTTGGCCAACATTCTCTGGTGGGATGGGATGTTCTGCCTCTTTCTGTTTTCTCAGGGCGACATGGCCCCCACGTGCCACAGGCGGTTCACAGCCCGGTCCGGCCCTCCCGGCCTTTCTGCACGACGGAAGGGGACAGCGAGACGAAGTGACACCGGTGAACGGAGCCAGGCGCAGGGCCTTTATCCAGACGGCAACGCAGCATTGTGCCACGGGAAGGGGGGAGCGCATTGGGGTTAATAACAACAGCCAATTTACATTTTTTAAAAAAAATATGTTAGAAAAACAGAAACAGGCAGCAGAAAATAAAAATGGTGGAGGCTTCATCTGGCAGAGAAAAGTGCAAGTGGTACCTAACGGCCGTTGTCTCTGTGTTGTGGATGGAGTGTGCTCAGAAACAACTCAGGGTATGCTTGAAATAAATAAATAAAAAAAAGCAGATAATGGCAGCCTGCAGTCACCAGCAGGAGCGAGGGGGCAACAGCAACATAGAGAAGAAGCAGCCAGAAGCTAAAACTAAGGAGTTACTCGAGGCGAAGGGGGAGAGGGCAGTGTGGGTGGAGCGGGAGATGCCATCGACAGAACACAAAGAACAAACACTGAACACGCTGCTCCTAGACCCATTCCAGCTCAGAGGGGCTCCCGGGCTGCGCCGAATCCAGGGCTCCCGCAGCCCGTTTTTATTCCTCCGGCACACAAAGTGCTGGCCTCCACTTTCAGCAGAAAGATAGAGGATGCGTACGAAATTTATAAAAAAGAAAAAACCCATCAACAAACCCTAGCCTGCTAACACGGCTCGATTATCTGCAGTGGGATAAAGCACTGGAGGGTCAAGCCAAAGAGTTGGTGGCACAATTAGAAATGACAATTTTCATCCTCCCTCGAAAAAAATAAAATAATGCAGCCGCACAAAGCAGCAACAGAGACGGCAAAAGGTAAATACGCTCTCCATGCTGCCAGCTGATTGGCTTTTTTTCTTTGAGGAAGAAAAATGTCTAATTTACTCGAATGAAAAAAGCTGCATGCAGGAACTCTTCCCAGTCCAGTCCACTGAGAAACAAACTAGAAGGAAAAAGGGGATGCACAGAAGGCACAGACATTAAGGGACAGTTCAGACACACGGCTTGGGAGACCGAAGTGCTGCGGCAGCCCCCGGAGGTTTTGATCCCTGCACATCAACTGTGCGGTACGTCAGTAACCGAGTCATGCTTGCTTTTCTCAGTGGGCTTCCCCACAGGGGTAAGCGTTCGGGTGCAAAAACAAAGCAGAATTTAAGTACTGCTTGTATTACAGCCCTGAAGAGACCAAGCTCTGCACAGCAGAGCAAACGGAGGAGAAGAAGGAGGAGGAGGCACAAGCAGACAACAAACGGCAAGGCAGGCTACAGCCTGCCCCAGTACCTGCCCCGATCGAGGCAAGGTAAGCCAGGAAAGCAGGCAACGGAGGAGTTACAGGCCTTAGCCCTCCTCCTGTGCTGGAATAAATCCTGCAGAACACAACTGCCTTAGCAGAAACGTGTTCCTCAGCAAGTCAGAGCTCCTCCTCCTCGGACTAAATTTCACCTGATAATGTAAAATTAAAATTTCTTTCCAAAGTCTACAGCTTTCCAAAGCGTTAAAAAGGAAAGGCTGGTTATTTTCTGGCGCTGACGAGTGCTCACTGTGCCAGTTTGCAAAACAGCTGGAAATCTACGCTTGGGAAAAAAAAAAAAATAAAAAAATCTTTAAAGTGTGAGCTTGGTGAGTAGAGGCATCTTCTCACTCAGAGGAAAAGGCAATCCAACAAACACGTCTCGCATCAGGCACGGGGAGCAGGAGGAGCTGGAATGGGTAGAAGGTCAGCGCGCTGGGCCAGGACCAGGTACTGCTCAGCTAGAGAACTGATCGGGTTTACTTGCCTGTTTGAATTATCTCATCCCCATTTATGACCTGTAATTTAACACAGCGGAGATGTCACTTGCAATAGCAACTGGGCCAGTACTCTTCGCAGCTCCCAGGACAGAGTCTGGCCCTGGCTCGGCCGGAGAGGCCCACAGGCATTTTTTTTTCGAGAACAGGGCTGAGCTGCTGCCTCGCCACACTGCTGCATGCTGCGCCCGACCACTGGGCGACAGAGCAAAGCCTGAAAAGCATCTTGTGCTATGCACAAGTAGCCCAGCTCACTGCTGTTCCCTAGCAGCTGCGGCGCTCCTCAAGATAACCCAGGTTCCAACTCCGCGCCACAAATCTCACATAAAAAAGACCTTTTCTAGCCACTGCTGTATCCCTTTGCCAAATGAATCGCAGACTAAAAAAAATCTTCCCAGCGCAGCTTAGAGGGATTGCTACAGAATCCAGAAAACACTCGGGCTCCTCTGGCGCATCTCTTCTGAATCTTTCACAAGTTTCCTCTTCTGCTCAGGTGCCCATGAAAGGGCAGCGACAACTCAGCTTCCCCCCCAAACTGCCTGACACTAAGGCAGCCAAGGTCTGCTGATGACCTTGCTTGCCCAAGTAGCTAACAGCCCTTGAGAAGAACAAGGTGTCAGATTAGAAGAGGAATCATGAACGCCTCTGGTTTCGCTAGCGTTTTCTCAACAAGTCCCCCTGCAGGTGATGAACGATGCATCATCTGATCAGGTGTGACCAAGGACCACACCGTTCCAGCCCTGTGGGTTTCACAAGTCAGCCGCAGTCCCCTCTGCCAGCTGGTGACACCGAGGGATCGGACTGCTCCGCTCTCCGCCTTGCTGGTCCACAACCTCACGCCGAGGCCGAGAGCCGACTGGCACGGACAGGTAACCAAGGGAAGGGCAAGTTCCTCATCCAGTCACCGTCTCTCAAATTCTCCCCTTCAGAAACTACTTTTTATGAGCTTTCTCAGTGCCCCTTTCACCTTCTCGAGACAGACAAACAAGGCGTCACCTCCTTCAAAAACCAGGCGGCTGCTTGGGCGAGCTGCCGTTCCACCGGTGTGCAACAGCACGGTGCCCTGACTGCGCCCATCGCTGGAACACGGCCCAGCAAACTCCACTTCTGCTCCAGCTTCCACTTGCCGTACTCCTTGGTCAGCCTGGGGGCTGCTGTACTGTTCCCCCACCGCCAAGAAAATCAAAAAATACAGCGACTGACTACCTTTCTGTTCATTCTCCAGCAATTCGAGAGCAAGTCCTCACAGAAGGGATTCCATCTTGAGCTGCATCTCGAAAGGGTGCCTACACCGGTGTCTCCGTGTACAGCACCTCGCACAACAACTAGGAACTACATATGGTGTAATTCGAGCAGGGTTTTCTTTTTGCTCTGCAGGGCTAGGTAACAGAAGCGCCATGTTATTGCACACAAGTGATTTATTCAGATCAGATGGCACGGATCCAAAAATCCAGCTTTCATGAACAGTCCTTCTGAAGAACTGTGGGGAACAGGCACAGGCAGTAGGAAAAGCAGAACTCTTCAAACTATCAAAGAGAGATCTGCTATAAATATGCTCCTAGTGTTACCCAGCTTTTAAAAACACAGCTTTTTCCTACTTTGTATTTTCCCTGCAGCTCCACGTGAGCTCAAACACTTCTATCATTGCTGGCCATTCAACAGGAAAAAACTGGCCAGGGTCTGCCCTTTTGTGCCCACTTATGTCTATACTCTAACACACCAGCACCACCGCTAACCACGGTCAGCTGAGGCTCCCTCACCCCACCACTCTTTGCGTAGGCGAACAACTTTCTGAAATAACTTGGGTTATTCCCGAAACGGGTCGTTGTCTTAAGAGTAGCTACTAAGGCAAGTTTATAGTTGGAACTACCGAAAAGCCCAGAAGCAGGAAAGATGTCCTCCAAATGCAAATACCACGAACATAACACGGCAGGCAGATATCAAACCAGCCTCGGGTTCCATTGTACGAGCGTTGCTCTCCGGGATCAGCAGACACAGAGGAAAAGCTGGAACGATCCCACACAACACACCCACATGCATTGCCCACCGAGTGCCACTTCCCACAGCCGACGTGTGCTGGCTGAGGCAAGCACTGCACGTCTGGGGCAAAGTGGGCATTTCTCCGGGCCTGACGTGGACAGTCAGATGGGGTGAAATGCCACGTATGACATTACATAGGGCAATGCTCCACTGCAAGCATTCTCTTGTCTTGACTCCAATGTTCAAAGCCGTGCTTTTAGCTCGCATAGCTGAGATGCATGCACATGGCAATTAAACTATGCTGGTATGAGGCACAGCTTCTCCGGAGTTCCCAGGCCCACGCTTGGAACAACGTCTACACAACCCACTGCTATTCCTTTACCCCCCCTGGGATCTTGCAAAGTAGAAGAGGTTTCGGAGAAGCGATTAGTCCCACGATTTGTGGTCAGGCTGTCTCAAAGCCTAGTGTCAGACAGTACAGTCTTTATTAATTAAAAAGCCCCAATTCTCTCCCAGAAGGCAGTAAGCCACCTGTGTGACACTGTGGGCCAATACCGGCTTGGGAGCTAGATACCTGTGCTGGGGTGGGAGGGTAGGGGGAACAACGGGTTCTACGCACAGAACACGTGGTTCTTGGAGATCCTGGGCTCCTTACCTGTGCATCAATAATTTTCTGCTTTGCATCGATGACAGCTTGCATCTCTGCATGATCCTTCTTCAGCTCCTCTTCAACCGCCATCAGTCTGATGAGCAAATAGAGTTCCAAATCAGGACAGTTTAACACTATTCCAGAGCGTTTCAGGTACTCTGGCCTGTTGGTTTGACTTCTCTGATTGTCCTGACTCTGCAAGAGAAGAATTCTGCTGTGCTTGGGAAAGCTTATCTATCGATCCGACACTCCCAATTGCCTAACCTTGTTATTCTCAAAATGGACACTGCCAAAAACGCAACTGCTCTGAAAAGCTACTGCCTCGAGCGCAGATTCCAAACAAAGCAGCAAGACCTGTTATAAGCACAACAGACACTGGAGTTAAAAGTCCCCAGATCTTCTCCTTCACTCTCCTGGCAATCTGAGGCAAGTTTCCACACCCGCATCCCCACTTCTCCACCTCTAAGGCAGGATGGCATCAGCTCAGAGACGTCAAGAAGCCCACACAGCTACCTTGAGGGTCAAAGGAACACGTGATACTGGGGAGCTGCTTGTCCTGCACGGCCCCAAACTTCCCAGAGCCTCACCTGCTGATGATACTTTTCATCTGGCTGTCCTTCTCCTCCTGTTGCCTGCGCAGTCTCTCCTCGCTGTCTTCCAGCCTGGACTTGTACTCCATCAGCAGCTTCTGCATTTGCTGCTCTTGCACCAGGAGCCGCCGCTCATACTCCTCCAGCCGGCGACTTGACACCTTCAGGCGCTCCTTCAGCTTCACTATCTCTTGTTCGTACTGGAGGCAGAAGGAAAGAGGGAAAGAATCAGATCATTGTACTCTTCTGCTGCTGTTCAGAGAAGGACATTGGTTTTTAAATGAAAAATAAATTGATAGAAGGAAATGACAAGCAAACATTTGTGGGCAACCACAGAGAAGGAGCACAAAGGCTCCCACTGAGCATTAAAGCTCCGCCCACACTGTAGGATGTAATTCTGGAGCATAATTTAAGCACCTGAGAGGGCTCTGACACAGCTCCTGACCGGTAACATTCCCGGTTACTCCGGACTCAAGCAGTTCCCAGACAAAAAGCTGCTAACAGTGCTCCACTGTAAAAATGTCCTGGGGTGACCAAACTTACAAAACGAACCACTCTGGGACCCCAAGAACTCGCTTTCCAGGACCTCATCAAGGCATTAAGCCACGTGCAGAGACAGAGCGAATCATTCACTACAGAGCAGAGCCCGTAAGTTTACTCAGCTGAGGTTTTGTTCTTCTACTTACTGTCTCTGCGGACAATCACTTCTGCACTAGTGCAATGAATCTCAACGTATTCCACTTTGGTTTGGGTTCATTCACCTTTCCTAATAATCCCATGCTGCTGCTTCTTGTCCACCAAATGTTCTTCTCCTCAAAGTACCAAACCTCCTGCTAAACACCATCACCATAGCAGCTCATAGATGTTAACTGTATTTGCAAAAATGGTAGCTACTCCTGAAAATAAATACGCTTTAAAAAAAAGATGATGGACGTTTCTGCGTAGCCCAGAAACACAGCATCACCTCGATGACAGGCATTTGCCTCAGGGGAAGCCCAAGACAAAACCTGAGTGTAACTACTGATGAAGGCTGAATTGCATTTACAGAGTCTTGTAGAATCCCTTAGCACACCCTAAGCTATACTCAGGTCAGGTTAACAATCGTGGGGTGTTTTTTTAATGGAGTTTAATGATCACTAAAAAATTTTGCAAGCATAGAAAAATGGTAACATGCTGTAGCTACAGCGTTGTCATAAAAAATAATGACTTGAGCAGGACCTAATACACTCTGGGAGTGACTCACCATGCAAGCAAGCGCCAAGCACCCGCCTGTAATGTACAAACCCTCGGCTGTGTCAGTCTGCACCCATCCGACACGCTGCAGCCTGTAAGGGGGTAATCTACAGCATGGGATCCTTGCTACAGACATGCTGACAGCACGTACAGCAGGAACCTCGGCCGACACAACCCACGTTCGAAAGCATCACTCTCACAGCAGCGTCTGAAAGCCGTTCTGGACAGGACTCACTGCCAGCCCTCGAGTAAAAGCTACCTTCTCAGCATGCTTGACTTCATCGGGATTCTGCTCTGCGTCCTCCTCCACTTCTTCATACTGCCCGTTATTGAGAACCCACGCAGCTGTCCTTTCCACTGGTGACATTGTGGCCGAGTCCACAGGCGACTGAACCTGGAGCAGAGATACCTGTAAGCATTTTTCAAAGAAACTACATACAGATCAGCTCTAAAATCCACTTTATTTGTAGGAGAAAACCAACCAACCATGGATCTGTCAGTCTCAAAGGATCCCCCAAACCTCTCTTGCGGAGATATTTCATCCTCCCTTGACTTTGCACCCACAACACTGACTTGAGTCCCTCTAAAACCAATGCACTTGAGAATTTTTTCTTCCTCTCTAAGTGAGCTTCTCTCTGGAAAAGTTCTCGTTTCCAAATCCTGTTCGCATCCATGCTTCCCCTTTGCCAGATTCTCAGTAAGGCTTTCTCAACCTGTGATTTCTCTCACAAAGCAAACAATAGCGACAAAGCTCCGCTCGCAGCCTGCTCAGGTAAGGCTGGTTTTTCTGGAGTACGGAAGAGCCTGACTTGGGAGCAACCTTCTCGGCCAGGCTGCAGACAGACTCGGCAATGGAGGATGGGGCCGCGTGGCTTGGACACGAGACGGCACAGCAGTGCTTCAGAAGTGTCAGAGAGTCGGTGTAGCGTTGTCACTGCGGCGCCTATCAGGCTTAGACGGTCTATCGTAGCACATACACCCGACAAGGCTGTGGAAGGAAGTCAGGGCCAGCGCCGCTCACTGGGAAAACTGCAAAACGCCATCAGAGGCTGTCCTTGAAGGGACTCCGAAAGGCAAGCCAAAAAAAGAAATAAGCAACTCTCCACCCAGCTGGGGAAAATATGGCTTGCTACAAATTCCAAGCAATTTTCATGGACAAAGACAAGTTTATAAGCACAAGAATTAGCATAATTACCCTTGAAAGAGCAACACTGTCTTAACTTTCTGAGAAATGCGGAAAATCAGCTTTGCCTCCCCTCCAACTGTTGCTTCTTTTTGTGCTCAAGCAGCTCTTCAGCTCACTGCCCCGTTTCAGTGCTGTACCAGCGTGAAACGCACTCCGTGGCAGGGGGGTTTTGAAGCCTAAGTTTCAGCGAGGAGCTCGTTATGGGAGAGGAACAGCTTCTCTACACGAGGGTTCATGTCAGCCTCCATCTCCGTTTCCTGTGTTCCCGAGGACAGGGCTGGCGAGCGCTGCATACATCCCACGCCAGCGCTGACCACAGGCTCTGCCTGCAGCAGCTCAGCTCTCCTGAGCAGCAATGAAGACTCCAGCATGGGAAGAACCCTCAGCAAGGATGGGTATAAAGGCAAAGGAAAGGAGTAGGAATTAGGTAAAAATCCCTGGATTTAGGGAGAGGCCTTTGGCTAGAAGGACATCTTCACAGCAGAAGAGCTAACGGCCCCTTTCAAGTGCGGCGTGACAGCCTGGCAAAGCTCCTTAGTTAGGTTTTTTTTGACAGTATTTGCTGTGAGGCAGCCACGGTGAGGGAGGCTATGAACTGTGCGTGGCTCTTCTCAGAGGTGAACACCTCAGCTCTGGGAATTGTTGGAGGAATCAGGAACAGCTACGGACCAACAGTGTCACCGTTCGTTGGAGTTACGGAGGACCAAGACAGCAGATGGGTGACCATGAGCTACATCGCCAACCTTGTAACAGGCTGCTGATCGCCAGCAAACCTTGCCAAACAACCTTGCAAGCTCTAGGACAGAATATTTTCAGCAGCCAAATTCAGAAAACCTGCAAAGACCAAGTGGACGGCAAGCATACTAATGGGTTCTGAGGTATACTCTAATAAAGGGGAAAAAAAGAAAAGCCTGCTCGCAACATGTATTAATTCCCCTCTCTGCCTCTCTTCCAGAGGAACACACTGACATTTCTGTTCCCACCTACCTACGGAATGGAAATGGAAGGCAAAAACTGACCTCTCCCAGCAAACAAAGGGCCTAGCTCTACACTCAGAAACAAACAGGACTTGTACAGAACAGAGTCTAATAACGCCCACAAAGCATGCCTAGAAAGAACATGCCCAGAAAGAACATGCCCAACTTCTCTCTTTTTTTTTTCCTTTTTAAATAAGAACAGAATTCCACAACATGATTTGCAATTAAAAGGATGCAATGGAATTTGCCTCAAAAAATTTTGGCCACTTGATTTGGCACACTTCAAGACATGTCTCAAGGGTGTGGGGAAGGAAAGAACAAAATCGATTCCTCTGAATAAAGTACGAGCAAGGACTCTAATGAATCCAGTGAAAACAATTAGCATGGAAAGTAAAGTGGAAAAATAAGTAGATGCACACCGCGTACTAGAGGGGGGAAGGAGACTGCCCTGAAGCCAGTCACGGTCGCAGGCTTCTATGAAGCTGAATGTAAAAAGTAACCTGAGCAGTGGAACGTCTGAGACGTCACTTTGAAGTCAAACAAGCAAAAGCAACTGATTTGCTTGGGGCAGACGGGTGCTCAGCAATTTCAGATAAGAAGAGCTGGGGGTCTGCAAACAGCTAACGGAGTATTTCTTGTACATACACCCAGGGCAGAGCCAGCCGTTCACGGCGCACGCACAAAGACCGGAGACGCAAGACCTATACTTTCTCCTCCTGACCCCAGCTCCTCCAAAGCAAAGCCTTCTTCGTGTATTTGTGTAGGCACTTCCCATAACAAGCCCTGAGGAGAGGCACCAGCTCTCCAGGAATTCTGGCCAAGACACCGCACAGAACCATACCACAAAACTCCGCAGATCATACAACACAGGTTCACTCCGGATGCCTGAGAGCTGCAGAGCGAGTTTCTCCTTCATATTTATCCTTGTTACCGGCCTAAAAACTTCCTAGCAGCTCCACACTGTCCAAAGGAGGACACAAACATCTGCACTTCAAATAGCACCCAATTACTTTTTTTGGTATTACTAACTTGGCATAATAGCCTTTGCTTTGTGATTCAGTGTTTCTGATCTCCTTGTACTTTAATGAACTTCACGTATCAAAGCAGCTTCGAAGCCCGGATTGCTCCTGGGTTCCCAGGCACCATACAGATTTTCCGCCTTCTGACTGTAACATCCAGGAGTCTGCCAGGAAAGCCACACCAGGAGGGACACCAGCAAAACCTTTGGCAGAGCTGGAGCTCATGCTGGCAACTGAGTTCTTCTGCTGGCTTCACCTATGAGCAGCTTTCTGGAGTGAAATCCCTCGCTCGTGCCTGGGTGCAGGGCAGAATCCTTTCTAGAAGGTCTTGGGCAAAGCGGGAGCTTAAAAAACGTCCTTCAGTACTAGGTAAGGTAAAGCAATCAGGACCATGTTTACCCGCACAGTGACTACAGAAGCAAAGGCTCAGCCCCAGAACAGCCCAGGCATTGCCAACGTCACGCTCCGAACAACCACCACCTTCCCTCGGACCCGTAAATCTGACATTTTCTGCCTTGGCCGTAGCGCCAAACATTTAAACTCTTATTTTCTCTTTAACATTAAACTCATTTAGGAAAAACTTTTCGTTTACAGCAAATCACAACAGGATTATCTTTTTTCTTTTTATAAGGTAAAGGAATGTTGGCTTTTTGACAGGAAAATCTTTATTTACAGCCACCTATGAACCACTGATAAAGTGCATTAGGAGCTGGGACATAGAAGCACTCCTTTCCAGCAAGCGTTTGCATTATTCATGGTTTGGGATGATTAATGAAAAAGCAGTATTTATGGGGGGACCGGCAATAGATTGTTGCATCATGGTGAAATATAGATTTCTCCACACTTAAGACAGACGTACTTATTTATTATTTTGGCAGCAGTTTATTCTCGGCTATTTTATCTTTGTTTATTTCTCTGTTTTTAGGTAGCTATGCTTTTAAATTAGCACCACAGGGCAAACGCATTCTCACGTGGCAATCTTAACCACGATCTGGAACAAAGCTTCTTCTATGCGTGTGTTTTTTTTTTTAATTTGGGGAAATTTTTGAGTTTTGTTTCTTTCACCAGGCTTGCTGCTACCTTAGTAAATGCAAAACATTTTTTTTAATTTAGTACAAAACCATCCAAAAACGATAGGTGAGGTAGGCTTGCCAAGCTTGTAAAGGTAACAAGTTTGACTACTCCTTACGCTTGCTCCTGGGGACTTCTCCCGATTCAACTCAAAGCTCGTAAAGCTTGGGAGGTCAATGCACCAAAGCAGAAAGCACCTGGGAAAGGGCTTTCCTTACCTGCTGCGTTTGCTGTCTCTGAATTGCCCTCACCTTGGGGACAGGGCTCTCTCTCGAGGAGGACGACTGCTGCCGGGAGCGGCTCCC